AAGCACACCGTGCCTCTAAACTACCCTCGAAAAGCGGGGTGAACTAGGAAAAGAGCTCTGATACCATGTGTTATGAGTTGTAAAGCAGAGTTGTTTGGAAAACGAATAACGAAGCTGTGACTCAATGAACTGTCGATACAATGAAAGGCACACTATTATATAGCGGGTCAACCTAGCTAGGTGGGAACCTCGGGAACACGAGGTTGGCTGCAGGTTGGGCAAAGGAAAGCCGAAGGCGACGAGAGGTTGCTTCGGCAGCAAGCAAAACCGGCCGAACGTGCACTTCCGAAAGTTGGGGTTGTACGCGGTTTAGTAAACCAGGAAAAGGGTTTTTCCTTACACTAAAATAATCGTATAACTGGGTAAAATATTATGCTGGGACCTGCTGTTACGAGTGCAATTGAGCGAGCGAGCGAGAATTGCACTATCGAAGCAAACTAAGGCATGAGCGAAGAATATATAGCGAAGCTAGCGTGGTAACGGTAACGCGAGAAAATGGGGTGCGCTACGGGCCTAGCGCCGAGGTTGGGAAATGTCGAGGCGGAGGTCCGGAGCGCGGGTTACTGCGGAGAATACTATTCTACGGGAGAGCTTGAATAGCATGGGACACACAGTCAGAGTTCTGGCAGTGATTCTCAGAAGTGAACTTGGTTGCCTTGGTAGAATTCAAGCATAGTTCCACTAGCAAAAGTTGATAGGGAAAGAATATGGTACAAGCAAGGAGAACCAAATAGCAAACACAATGAACCCTGTAGAAACGTTCCTCGACAAGCACTTCAATCTGTCGAGTCAGCAACGGCAGGTGAAACGACAAACACATGCATATTTCACGTGAGTTGGTAGTTGCTCAGGTTTACAACGTTCATAGTTGTGCACGTTTTTTCTGTTAGTAAAAACGTGTTCCAGGTTCAGTTCCCTTACTGAATCGAATTCTCCTGGGGAGTACAATTTCCGAAATTACCTGATTGGTCGAAATTTGCTGTTTTGTGATTGGGCGAAATTCGCGCACATTGCAAATTTTGGAGCCAATTAATTCTAGTCGACCAGAATCACTCTGCTCGACGAAACACTCGTCGAACTGAATTCTGTCGACCAGCAATCCGTCGAAACACCAATTCTGCCAATTCCGTCTATCAGAAAGGCTCGTCTTTGACGCCGTTTTACTCCCGTCGACGAGCTCCTCCTAGACGAAGACTTTGATCGAGCAGAGGAAACACTTCTACCTCGACCAATTAATCTCGTCGACAAACGACTCGTCGCACACAGATAAAAGTCCCCGAAGTCGTCGATGACCAAGAAACGAACACCGTCTGTTCCGAAATGCCTGGTCGACTTCGCCCAAGCGAGGGCGGGGCCTTTTCTCTTCGACAGTTACCAACCGAACCGTAAGGTTGGGTCGCATCGTAAACAGTAGCGGGAGTCGTGGTCGAGGCGAGTGTCGCGAGCGGGTAACGTTGCACTGTTGGGTGCCGATGGCGGGAATGGTCATGTACGCGGTAAGCAGGGACGCGAAGCAAGGAAAGGGAATTTTCCTTACACCTGCCCACCGCACCACCAGTCAGTTTTGTCCGACCGGCGTGCTTGATAGCGTACTGTATGTCTCAACGGAATGGGCCGTCGCTCGTCGACGGATCCGTCGACGAGCGACGGCCTGACCGGCGGGCAGAAAAAACTAAAACCCTATCGGATGGCATGCCATCCGAGGGAGGCATCAACCCTAAACACCATGCGACAAGGTGTTTAGGGTTGATGCCTCCCTGACCGGATGCATGCCCGATAGGGTTATATTTGTTTTGCCCGCTGGCAGCGAGCTCCAGCGAGCTTGCGTTGAGATGAACCTGGCTGGCAAGGCGAACCAACCGTGTCAAACAAGTTAAGGTTAAGGTTATATAAGGTCGTAACCGTGTACAGCGAAACATAGTGCAGCTAGAAATATGGTCTACACAACCAACAGCCCAGAGGCGTACGTAAGAAAACACGTTATTCCTCTATCCATTGGAAAACCGCCAGCCCAGCTGGGGAGCTCTCTATGCTCAAAAAGGGGGGGGAGGGCTAGGGGGGGCGGAAGGGGTCCCCAAGCAACCAGGAAGAGCGGAGGTCTGGGTGGATAGAGGGGGTTCCGTTGTGGTCGAAGACGAGGAAGCGAAGTCGGGTGGCCAGCTTAATACGAGCGGCTGAGCGAAGTTGTTTCTTCACTGATTGTTTCTTCCTGCGCCATAAGAAGATTTTGAAAGCGATGAGGAACTTTGCCAGTATGAGCTGGAGGATCTCAAACCGTGAAGAGGGCGAATCTTGGAACTTGTGTTCACAGCGTGCGTTCCAAATAGCTTTGGTAGATGCCCCAACCAGAAGGCTCCAGGGAGCCACCTGGCCGGCTCTGGAGGCGAGCGGGAAGAGCAGGAGCTCAGGAGGAGGAGAGCAGTGGAGATGGCGACGAGCGACGGAGGAGAGGGCGGAAATCACTGCGGGAGCCACCCCACACTCGTAGAAAATGTGGGGGATCGTCTCTGTAGGTGCGGCAAGGCAGAGTGAACAGATTCCACGGTCTGCGGCGAAGTTGAAGCGCGAACCCGAGGGAAGAGCGCGAGTGTAGAACCGGTACAAGACGTCGCGCTGGAGGCTGGGTTGCTCCCGTAAAAAGTCGTGGGAGAGGTCGGGGAGGAGGGGAGGAGGAGCGGGGAGGACGTGGATCCAGCGGGCGGCGTGGTCGAGGGGAAGTTGAGTATAGAGCTGGCGACGGATGTGAGCTACGCTGGGGCAGCCGTCCTGAAGGATGTCGAGCCGCGCGCCGAGCCCTGCACCTGTATAGAAGGGGCCTGCAAGCCAGGACCCAACAACGTGTACCGCAGAGAGGGCACCTATGTGGAAGGTGCCATCTCCGATCGACGGCCGGACGATGAACCGGTTGGGCAGGACACGGTAAAGAGAGGCTGAGAGCGACGACGGAGGGGAGAAGGCCGTGACCTGGAGAGCCAAGGTGGGGGAGGTCTCGGAGTCAACTTTAGGGACGAACCACTCTCCAGGGCTTGCCGAGGGTGGAGGGGGTGAGCGGAGGGCTGACCACCAGGGTTTGGGGATGGCACGGACGAGTTCCCGCCAGACTCTTCGTCCAGAGGAGGAGTTGGCTATGGGAAACAATGAGGAGAAATGTGTAAAGGAGACCACGCCAAGCGAGTGAAAGGTGAGAGAGATCAAATGGCCGACACGGACCTGCATAGATAGGAGGAAGTGTTTACGCGTGAGGATCCCGAAGGGCTTCCCGTTTGGTTTGAGAATAAAACGGTTGAAGGCGGTGGGCTCACCCATTAGACACATAGGGACGAGGCGAGGTGGGGCAATGATCGGACTGATCTCTATCAATGCGTGTAGTTCAGCGAGGGCTCGACTCGGGATTATCGTTGGCAGAATGCCTGCTTGAAGAATGGCAGGGTGTGCTAAAAGGCAGTGTGTGCCGAAAGGGAGGCAGACGGCGACTCTCGCTATCTCTTCGGATGGTGAGGCGCCAAGGCGACGGAGCGCGCGGTGAGCGGCTAGAGCACGGATTTGGGTGGAGGGGGCGATCGCTCAAAGGCCTCCATGGCGAGTGGAATTGTAGAGGAGCCGATTAGGGATGAGACGGACCGCGAGGCCGTGTTCCTTGAAACAGGAAGAAGATAGAAAGTTCCCGACCAAGACGTCTAGACGCAACCGTGTCAAACAAGTGTGGTACATTTCTATCTGGGCAAGACGCCACCACAACACCGAAGCTGAAGTGATCTCACAACACCGCCAAGACACGCCAGCGAGCGGACCTGCTGCTGTTCTTGATGCACTGAAGCCGTCCGTTTGATTGGACTGGATTGTTGATCCACTTTCCGGGAGTTGTGCCGAGTCCAGTTGAATCAAAACAGAGCCACCGCCGAGCACTTGGCAGTTTATTTCACGCCTCATTGTCGCCATTACCACCATTTGGTGGTGGTGATTGGTGCATGGGTGGCTTGCGCCATGCGTGCATCCCTCCCAAGCGCGGCTGCCCTGTCCTGTCTGTCTACCCGTGCAAGGGATTAGTTGTCCTGTCCGCCTGACTCTACAGTTGTCCTCTCCTTTCTCCCTCCCTCCCTTCCCCTCCTCTCCCCTCCCCTCCAATGCACTCCTCCCCTCTCTCCCTCCTTCCTCTCCCTCACTCCCTTGAAACCATTTCCGTCCCTTGAAACCATCTCCCTGGCTCCCTCTCCTTCCCTCCCTTGAACGCATCGCCTTCTGCCTCGCTCCCTCCCTGCTCCTTGCATATGCTGGCAGTCGAATGAACCTTTCAATCCCTTCTTGAATAATGCCTCCAATCCCTCGAGTTTTGTTCTGCTTGTTCGTTCGCTGCTCAAATCCCTCGGTTTTCGTCCTCAACAGTCGGTTTCTGCTCATGTCCCTCGGTTTCCCGCTCAAAACCCTCGGTTTCCGCTCGAATCCCTCGGTTTCTGCTCAGGTTTCTGCTCAAATCCCTCCGTTTTTGCTCACATCGTTCAGTTTATGATGCTACTTCTCGGCGTCGTTTCTCCTGACATTACTTCTTATCCCACCCTAGTCGCTTCATAGCAGAGGCTGATGGATCCTATGCAGCCGCGGCCGTCGCAACCATCGCAAGTCCAGAATTCGCGAATTAATCCGCACCCACCGAGCCAACCTTCGCTACGCCCACAAACGATCCAACCGCCGCCATGGCCGGCGTACGAGCCGGCGGCGATCCACAAGCTGCCGCGCGACGTGATCGCGAAGATCTTTTCGCATCTTTCCGTCGCAGACCGGTGCTCTGTGTCGCTCGTGTGTCGCCTGTGGTTTCGCTACGAGCGACTGCTGCCGCATTACATGCAGAGCGAGGTGAATATGATCCGTCGCTTCCGAGAACCATCGCTTTGCGAGGTGACGTTTGAGTCGACTCAAAAGTCACCGATTTTGGTTTCGCTACGAGCGAGGTAAATCACGTTGGGGACCCGTAGCTTTCACAGGCGGAAGCTCCGCTACTGCGGATGATGCAGAGGCCCGTTAACCGCATTCGCCGCATTAACATCGCTCAGAGCGAGGTAGATCATGCTGAAAGGATCATGCTTGGCTAGTTCACCATCATCTTATGAGGGAGTCCCCTTCCTTCGTGACGCAAATTTCTTGCCGCAGACCGAAAATAAATTGCGACAAGCCCTATATTTTATTCAATTGGGAAAAAAGAAGAGCCAGTTTGTTGCTGTTCGAATTCCACCCCTCACCCTCAATTCCCCGCTCCATTGTCTCCCGAAATTCCCGCAGGTCAGCGCAGCGGAACTCCGCTTCGTGCTGCGCCGCTTCCCCCTCATCCGCACGCTTCGCATCCGCTTCTTCGGCCCCACCGTGCTTCCGGGGGCGCCGCGGGAGCAGCGCGCGGAGGACCGCCACCACAAGCGCCCAGGCGGAGGGGGAGTGCGGGCGGCAGGAGTAACAGGGGTTGGGGGTGGCGGAACGGGGCCTGGGGAAGGCGGAAGAACGACTGGAGGAGGCGGAACAGGGGCAAGGGAAGGCGGAACAGGGGCAAGGGAAGGCGGAACAAGGGCTACTGCTATTATGGGAGGAGAAACGCGGAGCGAACCTCAAGCCGCGGCGGCGGCGGACTCCGCTCCACCTGCCTCCGTCCCCGCCTTTCCGATCAGCGACGCGGATGTTCTAGACGGTTCTGCCATTGTGAGGCTTCTCTCCCTCAACACGCCCTTACAAATCCAACAGGTGGCGGGAACGCAAGTAGAATACCTTTCCATCTGTAACTGCGGCGAGTTCGAGGTTCACCAGGGATTAAGAACGTATATGTGCGACACGATCACCACGTGGGGGCGCAGCATTCGTCACATCGAGATGCATGACCCGATGCCGACCGCGGACGAGTTTTGGAAATGCGTGGGAGGGCACCCGATGCTTAGCAAAGTGACGGTGTATAATTGCACGCACTTAACGGACCAGTTCGTGCGCCACGTGGCGAAGTGCCCCGCGCTCAAGGAGCTGTCGATCGCCAGCTGTCCGAACGTGAGTGGCGGCGGGTTTGCTGAGCTGGCGGAAAAGTGCCCCGGATTGGAGGGGATGGTTCTGGAAGATCTAACGCTGTCCGTGGTGGCGAAGAAAGCGCGCAGTGCGCCTGGCGGAGGGCGCGCGGGCGGGGGAGGGGCGGCTGAAGCGGCAGGGGGGAGAGAAGGGGAAGGGAGAGCGGAAGGAAGAGGGGAAGGGAGGGTGGGGTTGGATGGGAGAGCAGCGGAAGGGGAAGCGGAGAGGATCCGTGGAGGGGAGGGAGAAAGGGAAGGGGGCGGGGCAGGGGAGGATGTGCGAATGGGCGAGGGGAGAGGAGAGGCGGAGAGAGGGGCTGGCGGCATGGAGGGTGGCGAGGGGCGAGAGGGGGACATGGCGCATGTGACGGATAGGGCAGTGGGGGAAAATGAGGCGGATGGGTGGGATGGGGCGGTGAGGGCGAGTGGAGAGGCAGAGACAGCAGAAGTTCAAGCAGGAGCAGTGGGAAGGGAAGCATCAGGACGGGGAAGCAATCTTGCTGCATCCTTCCCCAACCTCTCCTCCGTGAAAATCATAAACTGCGCGCTCGATTCTCATTGGCTGGAAATGTTTGCCGGGCAGCTGCCTGCCCTGCGCAGGCTGACCGTCATGGCCTGCCCGGACCCGCTCGACCGTTTTTTTCTGACCGCTGCCCGGACAGCTGCCCGGCTGGAGAATGTTGAGATAGTAGACTGCGAGGGTGTGAGTGACCGCGGCATTGTAGCTCTCCTGAAAGGCTGCCCGGCGATCAACTGCCTGACACTGAGTGGGTGCGACGGAGAGTGGGGAGGGGGGGCAGAGGGAGGCGGAGGAGGCGATGGGGGCGGTAGCAGCGGAGGGGCGAGGGTGACGGATGAGAGTCTACGGGCGGTGGTGGTGCATGGAGTGGGGTTGCGATCGCTGCAGCTCAAATGGAGCCCCGGCTTCACTGGCCTCCAGCTCGCGAGAGACGTGCTGGATTCTCGACGGTGGTCTACCTTTGAGGCTGCGCCTTTTGAGGCGACCACCTTTGAGGCGACGCGAGAGGCAGATCTGATGCGAGACGGATTGGTTCAAGGTGTATTCACTGCGCCACCTCAAGACACGCGGTTACCATCCACTATGCATCCCTTTGCCTCGGATCCGCCCTCGCTGCAACAGTCACACCGGCTACAGTCACACGTGCTGCCACTGCTGCAGCTGGGGTGGAGTGGCCTGGAGACTATACGTCTGGAGGGGTTGGATGGGCTCTCTGATTCCTTCCTGCTGCTCGCTGCTGCCACCTGCCCCCGCCTCTCCACACTCGCTGTGGAGTATTGCAGGTGCGTTGCGGTGTGATGCGGTGATTCTGGATGCGGTATAGTGATGGGTGATATGCAGTAGGGGTGGTTCAATCTGATCCTGTTTTTTCTTAAGCCACGCTCATCCCTCCCCTCCCTTTCCCCTTCTTCTGACCTGAATGTGTGTTCGAGCCTTTTTTTTGTTATTTTATTTTTACCTTCTCTATGTAAATTCCTCTTCTCCCTCCCTGCTTTCCTTCCACAGGGAGATCTCAGAGGCGGGGCTGATCCCCCTCGTGCAGTCATGCCACAGCCTGCAGCACATGTGCTTCACTGGCTTCCGTGCCAGCCACCTCTCCGACCTCCTCCTTCACACCATCGCCTCGCACTGCCCGCTGCTCTCCACTCTCTCCCTCCGCGCCTGTAGCGGGGTTACCACACAAGGCGTCACGCATGTGTTACATGGCTGCGAGCAAATCACAAGGTGTCACCTGGCACGGTGCCCGAATGTGGATGAGGAGAGGGTGGTTCGGATCGCGAGGGAGGTTGGGGAGGTTAGGGAGAAAAGAGCAGGAGGGAGCCGGCGTTCTGTAGGAATGCCTGTGATTGAGATATCGTAATTTGGAAAAAAAAAAAAAAAAAATGATGCATAATTACTGGGGAGTTGTGGTGTCTCTGTGAAGGGATAACCAGAGGAAGATATTTCATGATTGTTGCTGTGGTGTGCACAACTGATTCCGACACACCTAACGTTTTTAGCAAGAAACATCAAACCATTAGGGCGTGTTCCTTCGGCCTCTTATCAGGCGAACCTCTTATCAGACTCGCGTCGCGTCGCATTGACCCTGGCAAGTCTGACAAGAGGTTTTCATGATAAGAGGCGTAGGAACACGCCCTTATAGCGAGATTTCGCTTCATCCCCCCCAGCGATCCCCCCAGCAATCCCTCCAGCCAGCCCTTGTCCGAAATTATCATCGCCCCACCACTGGTCCTCCGCCTTCCCCTTGACCTCCTCTTCCAACAGTTCACCCCCAGGGATCTCGACGGGTCGAGCTCAACACGCCAATTTAAGAAAGTTCGATGCCCCTGGGCAATATTGAGAGATTCCCCGTCCCCCATGAGTGTTCTAGTAGCCGTGGATTCCGCGACATGCATGCACTGACTTACGCATATGCCTTTCTTGAGGGAGGGTGTAGTGTAAGATTTCTTTCGATCCCTTGCGTCGCACCTGACTCCACCGCGTACAACACGGGCCTCGACCGTTCTTCGCCCGTTACGGTTAACAGTGTTCGCAACATTGCGCTCCAGCTTTTGCCAAACAACACACTGTTCTACAAGGCCGCATCGGCCTATGCTTCTTGAATAGCCCGAGACTCATTGCCAGCATAGCATAGGCTAGCGCGCACATGCATGTTACCGTATGCATGTTTTGCCATATCTAGTTCGCTCATGGCTCCGCTCATACTTGTTGGGCTGAAAAGAGCCCTTAGGATCTTTGCAGGAGTGAACTCTGGGTAGGATTTGTTGTAATTAGCGGAAGCTTAATGAGAAGTGCTTGAACCACCTTGCGCTAGTATGTGAGGGCAAAGTAGATTGATTAAGGCAAAGAGATACAAGATTATATAAGAGCACAAGGAATACGAAAGGATACGGTTGCAACTACTTTACTGTTTGCTGTTGCGGTTCGATACAGTGACGACTCGGGCAACTGCTCTGTAGCGAGTCAGTTGTGTGTCCTTGATGTCGTGCTGTACTCTGTCAGGTCAAAGGTCGCTGACCTTTGACTTTCGCGTAACCTCCAGCGGTTACTTCAACCTCCGAGGGTTGACTCGCTGGTGCCTCGATATGCTTTGCTTCGCTTGTGTCTTGGTGTTTCGACACGACAGAGGCGCTTAAGACTGATTGTTTCCAACACTCCCCTTCGCTTCTGGAGTGTCGCTGCTGGTGACGTGGCTCTGTCCAGTCAGCAGCATGCAGTACTCGAACTTCTGCTTTCCGAGCTTCTTGGTCAGGTAGTCAGCTGCCATCTCGGACGTGGGGCAGTATGACAGCTCGAGCCTCCCTTTCTCGATCTCGTCCTTCACGAAGAAATATCGCAGGGCGATGTGTTTCGTCCTGTTCGCGAAGCCGTTCTTGTTGGCAATGCGAATTGCCGACTGGTTGTCGCAGAACAGAGTGAAGCTGGGTAACTGAGCCAGCTTCGCTTCTTCCAGCAGTTCGCGAAGGTAAAGTCCTTCCTTGGTGGCTGAGCAAAGTGCAATATATTTTGCTTCAGCTGACGAGAGGGCGATTAATTCCTGCTTGATCGACTGCCAAGAGATAGGTCCGATAGGTTCGAGGCGGTAGATGTAGCCAGTGCGAGAACGCCTGTTCTCGGAATCGCCAGCGTGATCGGCGTCGACGTAGCCGATTAACTTAGGCGGCGTAGTTGCGTTCTTGTAATAAGTTAGACCAATCGTCGGGGTGCTAATGAGATAATGAAGAGCGCGGTCGAGTTCTGCTAGATGTTCCGCTTCGGGCCTCTTGAGGTAGGTGGCGAGTTGACTTGCAGAGTACGATAGATCTGGGCGGCAGGTGACAGCTGCGAAGAGAAGGCAACCCAGCTTTCTCTGGTAATCGCGTATACCGGCGGGCTTTAGCAGAGTAGTTCCTTCCTTGTTGTTTCCTGCCGCGTAGCGATATGGCGTGGAGATGGTGGTCGGCGTGAGAGCGAAGCGTTTAGCGATGGTGTCGGCGTACTTCGTGGCGCTGAGGTAGATTGCGTCTTCTTCTTCCTGAATGTTGAGGCCGAGGTATTGCGTGACGGTGGATGAGACTGTGAGTGTGAGGTCTTGCTGCAGCTCCCCTTCGAACCAGGTGGTGAACCCGTCGGTTGAGCCGATGTCGAGTAAATCGTCTACGTAGACGATCAGCAGGATGTAGTCGGTGCCCTTGGTGAGCCGGTACATGTCTTGGTAGTGAGGTAGCTGGCGGAATCCGATGCGAATGAGTCGGGCGTGGAGATACTGCTGCCACAGTCTCGGGGCTTGTTTGATGCCATAGAGTGACTTCGACAGCTGACAGACTTGGTTAGGTTCTCCGTTGGACCCGTGCGGTAGCTCGACGAAGATTTCTGCGTCAACAGGTGCGTAGAGAAATGCGTTGGCGACGTCGATTTGCCGCAGCTTCTTCTTCTTCATGGCGGCGATGGCGAGGAGAATTCGCAGCGAGGTTTGTCGGCTGACTGGCGCAAATGTTTCGGTGAAGTCGCGTCCGTGTTCTTGGTCGAAGCCGCGTACGACCCAGCGTGCTTTAAACTTGTCGATGGTGCCATCTGCCTTTGTCTTCACACGGAAGACCCATTTCCCGGTGAGTACTGTCTTGTTTCGGGCGACGCCGATGGGAACAACTTTCCAGGTGTTCCGTTCTTCCAGTGCTTTCAGCTCCTTGTCCATGGCTTCGCGCCATTTTTCCTTATGCTCCCCCCCTAGAGCCTGCTGAACTGTAGCAGGCTCCTTAGGAATGGTTGCGCCGTGAACCGCGGTGACGAGGCCAAGGATTTGAAGTCCACTCTGTGTGTAGCGGGGAAGTGTTATGTCCTCGGGATAAACTGCTTCGTCTCCCGCTTCTGGTGTTGGGTTGAAATTTGGTCCTACGCGTTCTGCTTCGTCGGTGTTGACTTGTGCAGGTGTAACGTAACCATTGTCGGCGAAGTGATAGTACACTTCGGCGTTGATGCTGTCGCGTGGATTTTCGTCGTCCATCGGAACATCAACCGAGCAGTAGGGGAGAGGTCCGGCTTCCTCCGAGGCTCCTTCCACGTTTTGCTCGTCCAGGTCAGCTTCGTCTTCTGCTGAAGCGAAGGCTCGATCCCCGCGAAATCCACCTGTGACATCTCGTGAGGTCTCCAAGTTGTACAGGTACGACGAAAGAGTGAGTCGTTCGTAGAAAATGACGTCACGTGCTGCCACTGTTTCCTTTGAGTGGACGTAAAAAATCTTCCACGCGTTGTAGTGCTTTTCGATGCCCAGGTGTAGTCCCCACTGTGCCCGTTGTGAGAAACGGCCGGCGCGTGCAGATGGAGGTCGGTACTGTACCATGCAGCCGAAATTTCGTAACATTTTGGTGCTGCCCTGTTTTCCTGTCCACAGCAGATGCGGTGATGCGTTGTTCGGGAGCGATGATGACGAGAGCAAGTTGTGCAGCATGACGGCGTGGTCCATTGCTTCGGGCCACTGGTGGTTGGGTAGCCGCATGCCACGTAGCAGCTTGCGCATGGTGTTTTGAAGGGTCCTGTTCATTCGTTCTGCTACACCCTGCTGTTGATGGGCGTAGGGTAGAGAGATGAGCCGCTTGATTCCTCGTTCCGCCAGGTAGTCTTTGAACTGCTGAGACGTGTATTCTCCTGCTCCATCTGACTGGAAGCTCTTTAGTTTTACGCCTGATTCTCGTTCTGCTACTGGAAGCCATGCGACGAAAGCTTGGAAGGCCATGTCGCAGCTTATAAGGTTGAGATGCCAGACATAGCGCGTGGCGGCGTCGATGAACGTGATGGTGTAGTTGTATGCTTCTTGTCCAGGTTCGCGATTATACAGGATGTCGCTGTATACTTTCTCGAGTGGTGCGTAAGCGGGTGCGCTCGGGTTGTGATGAGAGACGAAGGGCTGATGCGGTAAGTCAGCTTCTGGACAGGTGAAGCAAGTTCCTCTCATGCGTCGAAGTTCTCTGTCGTCGGGTAAGAGAAGTGAATCTTTGTCAAGAACGCCTGCTCGTATCGTGTTGTTTATCGTCGTGTTGCTTGGATGTCCCAGTCGCTTGTGCCAGAGATCTTCGTCAGCGCGATGTCCGGGTGAGCGTCGGTATTCGTCGGAGTTGGAGTAGAAGCTGGCGGTGAAGTTTGCGCTTCGATGTACTTCGCGAGGTGTTGGATTCAGTTGCTGTGCAGGAGTTGGTGGGGTGTCGTCGTCGATTGGGGCTGGTGCAGTTGAAGAACCCGCGATTGGTGCCGATGTTGTCTCTGCTGCTGCTGGTGTTGTCTCTGCTGCTGCCGTTGTTGTTTCTGCTGCTGCCGTTGTTGTCTCTGCTGCTGCCGATGTTGTCTCTGCTGCTGCTGGTGTTGTCTCTGCTACTGCCGAATGTTGAATCGTCGCTAACGCTCTTGTTCGTTCTGCCTCAGGAATGGTGTGCGAATTCCAGAAACCTCCGGGGCTGAAGTCTGGATCGAGATCTGGTGGGTGCGTCCAGGAGGTGAAGGTGACGATTCCGTCGCTGTCAGCGGTGCCGAGGTCTGGAACGAAGTCGAGGACGAACACGTTGTTCTTCAGTACTGCCTTGCCGATGTAGAGGCCACCCTTCCCGTGGTACAGCTTGAACTCCTGTGTTGTGCTGTCTGCTTCGAGGTGAATTCCTTTCGCCATCAATTGACTGACGCTCAGTAAGTTGTATCCGAGCCCTTCTGCTATTAAAACCTTGGACATCTGTAGTATGCCGTTTGTTTCTCGTGACTGAAGTTGCACTACGCCTTGTCGTCGTCTGCGCAGATTCTGGTTGTTGGCAACGGTGATAACGACGTCTCGCTGGAGACGGTGTTCGCGTTGAACGAAGCGACCCGAGGAGCACATATGTTGTCCGCAGCAGCTGT